ATTTCTTGTATTCGTTTGGTAGCAAATTACGCCTTCTTTAAATTTTATACTTCAAGAAAGAGTATCGTTCGGTTGTAGAAAAATATCCGGTTATGAGCTTTTTTACGATTGTTAGGTGTTCATTCATAATACATCGTATCCGTCAATTTACTAAGTCTGCCTATACTGTATAAAGCGTGCTCCACATCTATTGCAACATTTTATGAGAACTATGTGCCTTCTTCCTCACACTGCAGGAGAAAACGTACTTTTCCTTAAACAGGATGTACACAGTGCGCAGTTTGTAAACCTTGAATTCTAGTGTAGCAGTCAGTAGGTTTCAAAATTATTCAGCAATTTAGAAACCTTTTCAACACCGAAAGATACCCTTTCTTTAAGTATAAAGTTTAAAGAAGGCGTAATTTGCTACCAAACGAGTACAGGAAATAATTTTTTTACGTTTTCCATAAAATATACTTGAGTGTTTGAAAACAGTCAAAATCAATGATAAAAAACGCATACTATTTAAGTAGTTACTTTTTACAGAACACACGTTTTGTTAGTGGTCAGAACGAAGCTCGTCAAAAAGCCCGCATCCTACCATGACTGAAATGGCTTCATAATAGACTACGGGAAAATCAGTATCCCAACCTGAGTCAATACCGATTAGCGAAAGCTTATCAACCTTTCGCAGATGTCGGCATGTTGCACGAATTCTGGCGCATATTGTAGCTAGTACCTGTGCTGCCAGTATGATGTATCATGTAGCCCCGATATATAACAATAACTACTTTTTGGCACTGGAATAAATATTGCACGATTATCCCGCTGTGGCTGATGGATTTTGGACAAATATCAAATTTCAGTCTGGGTTCATAAAGCTTCATATAGCCTGATCTACTCCGTGTTGGCGATTCATTTCTGGGGAAATTGCAGATGAACAGTAAGTTATGTGTGAGGATCGTCCACTTATCTACATTACGCTCAGAGGAGCAGTTGAGATATTTTCTCAGCTCATGCAGTTTCCTGGTAAATGGGGGTACTTTTTTGCCACAAACAAATAATTCCTCCTCTTCTTACGAGAACTATTTTTTTATTACTAATGTTTACTTCTAGGTCCAGATAAATGGTAAGCAATTCCGTGGTGCTCGTATATTGTCTGGGCTACATATAATTTAAAATTAAGCTCCATGCATAACATTTATGACGAGACTAGACCTCGCTACTTATGAAACCTCTGTAAATGCCAGGAAATTACGACTACTATTGCTTTATTTTAGGACAGAGATTTACAAATCATAATTTTTTAAGAAAGCGGAATTGACACCTATCTGAAATACAGGTTGTTGTCTGCAATCTTGCATAATTTGGTTTACGCCAAATGAATACTAAATTTAAAGTCGGAGAAGATTTTCTTGGCATAATTTTCTCATTTACATAAGTGTCCTCAGAAGGAACAACTCGTAAATAATAACATCGAAAATTAACTAGCTAAAAATGCATTTTGGTTGTCACCCAAATTTGCAGGCTGTTTTGTGTAAAAAGAAGGTCAAAAATATTATGCGGAAAGAAAGTTTTCATGCAGCGTCTTAACCGAATGATGAAAATTTCCGACCTTCTCCGCCTCAATCTGCTGGACACTGATTGACCTGTTTCAGAATTTTTGTTACATATATTCAAGCAAGAATGGCTGGCACGCCGATCTATCGGCTTCCCGAAGCAAACCGGTTCCATAAACGTGGCAGGGATCACTACCTAGGAAAGTGACTTTCAGACGAGTGCAGGCCAGCCATGAATGAGCCGGAGTCCAGAGAGTC